ACTCCATCAACTACTCTACAATCAGGCTTCTCATTAATTCATCAATCATATTATAAAGTATAGTTGTAAGAAAGCTCGCCACTTACCTGACTCTGGATAGAGCTATGATTACTGAGATTACTGACACATTTATCATATCAATATCGTTAATTGCCCACTGGCATAAGATTGACAGACAGATATTGACAGTGTATCACTAGTTTATGTTATTGGCACTTGTTTTGAAATTTTAGTTGTACATCCTGACTTCGCATGAGTGATTTTAATCTGAATTATCTTGAAGATTTTATAACTTTTCTTCTTTGGGCGAACGACTGGCTACTACGCCATGTATAACGCGTTTGATTCATACATAGATTCATTATTCGAATTACTATGTAAACGAGCAGATGGATCACCTGATGGTAAGAATCGGCGTCACCCATGGATACTACAACACCAGAGGCGTTACAAGTGCGTTAACGGCATTTTGGGGATTAGGAATTTCAGGATTGTTGGAGATTCGGGGATTGGGGAATTTGAGGACCCCTCTTCAAATTCCCCAATCCTCAAAGCCTCCGGTAACCTCACCCACACGATGAAACACAATGCAAGCGTTGTTTCACGTCGGTGTTCTGCTCGGCCGTGGTATCAATCTCAAGCTAATGATTTGAACTCTTACTTGTCAGTCGTGATTAATTGATCCATTTAGTATTTGTTTAGCGAGGCTATGATAACTATTTATTTATTAACTATATTTAAGTTTAATATAAGTAAACGTAGATAAATTATTATTAAATCCTTGTCATTCATTTTTGATACTACATAATTACAGTCTAAACTTGACAGTCTACCGAGCTAACCTAAAATCGCGTATCATTGTAGGTATCTTTAAATATACCTACATATTTGGCAGCACCCAAATAACAAATGTACGGTCAGCACAAATATTTAGTATGAAGGCAAGAAAATAAATATTGACTCTTTACAGAGACCAAAGTTACTAATGAATTACAATTGTAGTTTTTAGCCAAGCCGCATCTACTGTAACCAACCGATGGATACTGTCTTTGTAGGAGTCAATCTTTACTTTTACCGATTTCAAAAAAAGGAAGAGGTACTACTATGTTGGGTTGTTTGTTATTTTTTTGTTTTTTTTTTTTTGTTTGTTCACCAATTACTCCGCCATTTGTGAACCAAAATTAAGAAGTCAGTGCCATAAGCTCGTATCATAATGATATAACTTAGTGGCCACAAAATTGTAAATTAGGTATTTAGTAAGGTTTTAATGAATAATTTTGTATAGAACTTATGGCGCCGACTTCTAACCCCCATAGGTGGGTAGCCTATCAGTACTAATGATAGTTATTTTTTTCTTTTCAGCTTTGGCTTTTTGTTTGTTATTAGTTTTTGGTTTTTTGAAGTCAGTTTTTTTCTTAGGTACTTACATACTAAATGTTTTAGCTGACTGTACCTATCTAGTTTAAATTAATCAACAAAATAATATTGATCTAGGTCAAAATAGTTTAAAAATGAAACCTTTTAATGTGTGTGTGGTCGTGTTTAGAACCGTTAGATATGATTGGATAATACAGTGTGTCGAATTGGAGAACAGCACATCACAGTATACTAGAATACCAAAATACATTTTCAACCTTACTACTTTTGTACATGGTTGTAAGTCGATTGAAGGAGGTTAATGCACTAGGGTAGCTTCATATGCTGGTGTTTATAAATTAATTTAATAAGGGTTCTGTAGTTGATTCAATCAAACGTTTGGCATACATTTAGATGATTCATTGACCACAAATTGCTCCAATTATCGACTAGTCTGGTTTGTGTAGACATCTTTAAATACTTTTACTAACGAGAAAATGAGAGGAGAGAGGAGAGAGGTCGCTCCTAAATTGATTGCAGTCCTGCATCGCGGTTTTGACTACAACACTATTTGTGTGACGTGGAGTTTATGGCAAATATACGTATTTTACTATTAAGCCTTTGACTGCCGACAGAAAACTGCTGAAGGCAAATCCTCCGCTAACATAGGTCACCGGTGACCTACGCGGTGGTTAACGTGTTAATTCTTCTTGCGTAAAGGCGACCCATAAGTCGAATAGTAGATTATTGATGTTGTTATTGATATTGTTTTATCAATGCTTTTTTATGGGATAATCCGGTAAACGAGCAAATGGATCACTTGATGGTAAACAATTGCGTTCCCGGCCTTTGGGTGATTAGAAATTTAAGGATTGTTGGAGATTCAGGGATTGGGGTGATTTGGTAAAGGGGGGGGGGTAATTGGGTCTCCGTTAACCTCACTCACACGATAAAACATAACGCAAGCGTTGCTTCACGACGGTTTTCTGTTGAACCGTGGTATCACTCTGGTCGAGCAGGCCCATTTCATTTAACATCACCATAATCCAGATATCTCATACAGTGCTGACAATAACTAACACAGAATTCAACATCACCAACTCCAATCTTCCACCGTCTTACGCAACCTAACCCAAATTCATGCGACAATCGCACGACAAACGCGTCGCACCTTCAAACAAACACATTACGTGCTGCCAAGAAAATAACAGTTCTAATGAGTAGCTGCTAACTCATAAATAATGTATGTATAACATTACACCTTCTTGTCACATAGTTGGGTAATCATGAGCTAATGTTGCGTATTTGTTTGTTCTCTACTGAATTGTGGAGACTGTCCTTCCGTTCAAATCAATTGCAAGCTTGCATATCAAAAAAGGTGGTTTTATGTAGGTATGTATGTATTAGTCTAGGCGTAATAAGTTTTAAGCATGGGAGACCCATGCTTCGGCACGAATGGCCAGTTGGACTGGAGTGAAATAACGCTTGCGTTGTGTTTCGTCGTGTGAGTAATGTTTCCAAACGCCCAATTACACCTCCACCCTCCCTAATCTGTCCTATCCCTGAATCATCAATATTCCTCAAATTTCTAATCTCCAAAAAGCCGGTAACACATTTGTAACGCCTCTAGTGTTTCGGGTGTCTATCGGCGACGCCGATGGCTTACCATCAGGTGATCTGTCTGCTCGTTTACCGGCTTATCCCATAAAAACAAATAAAGTACAACATCTCAGCTTTAAGGTTCTGGTTCGAAACTCGGTTGGTGTCGAAATTTCTTTAAGCTTCTGTGCCCATGCAGTGATTAGATAAAATGTGATTGACATACAGACTGTTCTGCACCTTTACAACTACTCTATCCCTATATAGGTGCCGCGGATAACTTAATGGGTTACCGGGGCTCCGGCTCGAAATGCAGGAGTAGGAACGTGGTGGTTTTTAGTCTGTAAGAGTCTGACACTCCCTCCCACCTCACCCGGGCGGGAGAAGACATTTGATGATTTTCCCCCATTAAAATAAAAGTCTCTATAGTTATAGCTACTTCTGAAAAAAGTCATAGCCTTTGTATTTCTCGAAGAAGCAGGCACTGGGGTGTTCAAATACGCTTATGTTAAACGCCACGTCCATATTTCGGCGGATCATTAATCATAGTTGTAATAATGTAATTAATTACCTACGTACGTGTTAATGACTTGTAAGTTCCGTGTAGTGACATGCGGTATTACCGCACAAAAATATTATTTGCACTTAAAATAAATCGTAAACGTAACAAATCTTAACTACCGTTTTATAGCTGTAGACATTATTATGTAAGTTCCTAATTTAGTTGACAATGTGAGAAATTATTATCGGAATAAAAAGTTGATTTAATTAACGAAAGCATGTACCTACCTACATAGGCCTGACTGTCGGCGGTTAGCGGATTTTAGGAACCAATTTTTTTTCCAATTCAATAACAACTGGGAAAATATTTATACCACTGAAGTAATGAATTTGCAGCATGTATTATTCAGCACCGCCCGCAGATAAATGCTCATGGTGCAGAGATGCGACACCATACACACATACGACACGCAACAATCGAATCGAACCACTATCGATATTATATGTCGAGTCAACAACTCCTGAGGATACTCCGTGGAGGAGTGAAACATACATGTCGAGAGTGGTTACAGTGGTTTGTTGTGTGTGTGTTCCTCACGATAATTTTATGAAATCTAATAAATGTTGTCTAAAGACTCTTCACTACAAATCCCGACACGGTGTGGTTAATTTTACATGCATATTATTAATGTATGTAAATAGTACAGAGTAGATAGTTTAGTAGGTTTGTGTCCAGACAAATCGTGTATATTCATATCCAGAATCTTTCTATATTTTAAAACGATCAAAGAAAGATATTTTTTTTAATCTAACCAAATTGATTCTCGCTGAAACTTCTCTGCTCGCTACCAACAAGACCTAGCTCACTGATAGACCGTGAACAAATAGCGTGTCACATAATTCATTCCTCATACTCGTGTAATATTCGTAATTGTTACAAACGACATAATGCAGAATGCTGTCATTATCTGTCTACAGTTTAACTATTTAATAATAATATTATATTAAATGCTATAGATACGAGGTAAGCAGAGCTGTCACACCATAATTTACTTCGCCAATTAAGTTCTCAATATAAAGCAGGAGATTTGTGGAATATTTTACGCAGTGTACAGTGTAAAAAAACTAACAAATCTGAACTTGTAACAAGTTCGTCATAACCACGTGTCATTCCACTGTTGGACATAAAGGTTTTACTATAATCTCATAATAAAAGTACCCTTAGCCGACTGATGACTGTTGATGAAGAGGAAACCTATTCCTCTTCATCAACAGGTATGCAAGAATCGTAGCAATTGGCATTTCATAGTCTCTGCCTACATACTTAGAGGTACATACGTGGGTACCACAATCTCCATGCTTGAGGGACTTGGAAACTGCTGCTGCTCGGCATCTGTCAAATGTGTTGTAGTTTCTTAATCAGATTTTATAATACCTGCAAGTAGTGAAAGGGTGATAAAATGTATTCTATTCTACTGCGCCGTGACCACACACCAGTTTATTTATTAGTCATTCAATTAAACAAATGCATTCTTCTGTTACAGAATGTGGTGTACCATTGCGGCGGCACACGCGTCAACCTCGCGACAGGACCCCAGGCCAGCTCCGCATCATCAAGGGTCGGGAGTCCAAGCGGGGAGCCTGGCCCTGGCAGGTCGGTAATCAGTCAGATAATTTGCTAGAATTGCTAAATAGTGCCTTCTGTGATTTGCCAGTTTGTGTTAGTCACACAGTTGATTGCCTCGTTGGCCGATTGGTCGCCAGTGCGACCGGGCCAGTGCGACAGTATTACTGGGTTTTAAAAAAATCTCAGTAGTAGCACGGAGTCTGGAATTGTGCCCGGTATATGGCAATAGGCTCACCCCCTATTATATGGGACTCATAACGTAAATAGTAAAAAGTGGGTGTTACATTGTACAGTGGCATAATGTGCACCTCTGCCTACCCCTTGGGGGATAAAAGGCGTGATGTAATGTTACGGTTTTGTTAGTCAATTTAGTAAAGTATTACTCTGTTTTATATTTTTAAACAAACCTTTATATGTAGTTCAGAATAAAGCTCCATACTAATGGTAATAGGTTCACCAATTTATAACCCTGATACAATTGTCTCAAATATAAATAAATTTACAAGTACCCTTTCTGCATACACCTTCTAGAAATGTCAAAGATTCATACTAATTTCTTCCTCTGGTCTACTTCCAGGTATCACTTCAGCTGCTGCACCCAAATTATGGTCTGATCGGGCACTGGTGTGGCGGCGTGCTGGTGCATCCTATGTGGCTGCTCACCACTGCTCACTGTATACATAAGTATGGTTGTTTTATTGATCCCATAGATATAAGTTTTTGATATTTCTGTGATTGATTCTATCCTCATTGTATCATCGTTTGAACATAGGTATACGCTCGATTTTAATCGCGGGACTGGGCAAATAGGGTTTAATGCTTGATTCCCAGATCGGGTTAAACGGTATTGATGAAATTAAATTTGTAATGATTAAAGCATAAAATGTAAGGACTGCCTCGTTGGTAGAATGGTTTCAAGTGCGACTGCCGGGCCAGGGGCTTGGGTTCGATTCCTGGGCCGGGCAAAGTATTACAGGAGTTAAAAAAAAATCTCAGTAGTAGCACGGAGTCTCGAATTGTGCCCGGTATATGGCAATAAGCTCACCCCCTATTACATGGGACTCGTAACATAAATAATGAAAAGTGGGTGTTACATTGTACAGTGGCATAATGTGCACCTCTGCCTACCCCTTCGGATTTCGGATAACAAGCGTGATGTTATGTAACGTTGTACTTTACTACGAATCGAATACGGTCGAATCTCGACTTCGATACAGCATACAACATTGGGGAAACAGTTTTCAGTACAACATTTGCAGAGCATTCACCCTACAGAAGCGGGCCATAAGAACAATAGTACGTATACCTCAAACAGAGAGCTGCAGACAGTATTTTACGAAGCTGGAGATCCTGACGGTCCCCGCTATTTATGTTTTGGTAGCTTTAACTACGCTAGCCAAACATATTCACGAATTTGAAAATGCAGAAGATAGAGTTATCAGGGAGGGCACTCGTAGAAAAGATCTCGCTCAAGCAGTATGTCCTCGGTTAAATGTGGTTAGGCACGGTTTGCGGTACCAAGCAGTAAAACTGTTCAATAAGCTACCAGAAAATTTAAAGAGCGCCATTTACACGAGTTCCTTTAAATCCCAACTAAAGCATTTCCTGTTGGACAAGTGTCTGTACTCAATTGACGAACTGCAATAGTGTTATTGCAGTGTTGTTGTTGACATGTATTTTAATTCAATTGTTTAATGTATTAGTGTAGTGTTACTGTTGACATGTATTTTAATTCAATTGTTTAATGTATTAGTGTAGTGTTACTGTTGACATGTATTTTAATTCAATTATTTAATGTATTAGTGTAGTGTTACTGTTGACATGTATTTTAATTCAATTGTTTAATGTATTAGTGTAGTGTTACTGTTGACATGTATTTTAATTCAATTGTTTAATGTATTAGTGTAGTGTTACTGTTGACATGTATTTTAATTCAATTGTTTAATGTATTAGTGTAGTGTTACTGTTGACATGTATTTTAATTCAATTATTTAATGTATTAGTGTAGTGTTACTGTTGACATGTATTTTAATTCAATTATTTAATGTATTAGTAAAGTGTTTCTGTTGACATGTGTTATAATTCAATAATTTAATGTGTTATCGAAGTGTTTTCTTGACATGTGTTTTAATTCAATGATTTAATGTAGTATTGCAGTGTTTTGTTGACATTTATTTTAATTCAATCATTTAATTGCGGAAAAATTTAAAATTGATCTAGTCTTATCTTGAAAAGTACCCAATTATGTAACTTCTTTCTAAATTGGATTTTTATCATGTTATATTTGATTATTTCGCATTTTATTATTATTTAAATTGTTCTGTTGATTTTTTTTTGTTTTTGAGTAATATGACTGATCCATGCTGTATGGATTAAATTGCAATGTAATTTATGATTATGATTTATGATAATGTATGGAGACATTCAGATACAATGTAAATTGTTTATTGAATAAATGAAATGAAAAATGAAATGACTACCTGATTTTTCAAAATACGTTAAATAGTAACGCACTGTTTTGACGCTTTCATTTAAAGCCACACATTCTGCACTTCGTAAACAAGAATGAAGTAAAACCTATTAGCAAATTAAACTAAAAGCTTACTCATAAGATTATCTCAACATAAAATATCTTTTGTATAACCTCCTACACCTAACATTTCAGTGAACTCTTCAACCTACCGGTACCAGCGCTCTGGACAGCAGTCCTGGGCGAATGGGACAGAGCTGAACAGAAGGGAGCCTATGTGCCTATCGAGAAGATTGTCCTGCACCATCGGTTTCATAACTACCAACATGATATAGGTAACAAAAAGAAATACCTTCTGTTCATCATTATTCATGTCCATTATTAAATTATGTTGGTTCATAGTGAACTAGAGAATTCAAAGCAATTCTCTAGTTTATTTTATAGTAAGAGAAAGTTATTCCATAGCTTAAATTATTTTTTCAGGACTCTTTCTTAATTATTGGCCACCTAGACGATGCTCTCATTTTCTTTGACCTTTCATTGTATGTATCGTAAGATGCCTTAATTAACTATGATTTTACGATTTCCAGCTTTAATGAAGTTAACAAGACCAGCAGACGTCAGCACAGGAAGTCGAATCCGCACAATTTGCTTACCACCTTTCGAACCACCAATAGACGCTTTCGGAACAGAGAAGAGCTCATCTTTCTATCATCGTCCAGAATCGTCAACAGAACCACCACGACGAAAGCCAAAACCACCAAAACCAAAGCCAGATACCGCTGTCAAATACCTTGAAAAACTGAACAATTTGACGAAGAATATCTTCTCAGGACTAGTGAACAAGAAACATAAGAATATGAGATATAACGTTAGAGTATCTAATGACTCAAATAGACAGACAGACAGAAAAAATGGAGATGAACTAAGAAAGTCAGATAATGAGAGAGGTCACAGTGATCTTATCTATGACAGTGCCACACTAGACAGTGTTGTCAAACTTATAAGGAACAGTCTACTAAAAGACGATTATAAAGTCAATATAAACAGAAGTGACAAGAAACTTATGTTTGGTGAAGAAATTGATCCGTTTATTGATGACAATAATAGACTAGACTTCAAAGATGAGTGTTATACTACTGGTTGGGGTAGGGAGCAGACGAATGGGACATTGACAGATGTTTTGTTGGAAGCTGAAGTACCAGTTCTACCTCTTAATGTTTGTAGGGAGAGATATGCTCTGACTCTTCCATTAAATGATGGACATCTGTGTGCTGGGAGCACAGATGGCAGCACAGGAGCTTGTGTGGTAAGTATAAACATTTTTAATATGAATTCTTTCAATGTTTTTTTATGGACATCCTCTTCGAACTTTCGTTTCCTGGGCGTTAATTTGTTTCGAGGATTAATTTGTAAAATTATAACTACAGGAAAAAATAACAGTTTGAGCGAGACAAGCTTGGAAAAGAAAGTAATACTTAAATCCATGAAGTAAGAAACTTTGTTTTAGTGTCATATTGATTGAAAAACAGTTGTAAAAATGCGGACATAATATTATTAATGTAGTATTTAATAATCTCCTTACCCAAGAGAGAGTAAAAAGAAACCCACTATTATGACCTTCACAAAGAATTTTTGGCTAAAGTTAGTTTACGAGAAATTTTAATTGATCCAATTATAACCTGTACGTTGTGATCTTAATGAAGTATTTTTGATTTTATCTCCATTTTATAAACGACCGTTGTAGTTTGATTTGATCTCATTAAAATGCTTTTAAATTATTACCTGTTCCAAACTATGTGTTCCTGAATACCTATAAGCATTGATCGAATCATTCACCTCTTCTTAAACTACTAGCTTACCTTCTGTGGTTTTACTTTCGTACACTTCTTCGTACCCTTTCGGATGATGATTTAAAAGATAATATTAAAACAAACAATCAATTTCTTGGTACCTACCGACTATTTAATAGATAACTATATTGATTTCTTCACGATCGGCCATAGGCTAAACGCATGGCATACCAAACTGTCAATAATCAGATCATTATCACAGATAACGCATAGATGCTAGCATATCAAGATACTCCTTTCGGTTATTCGATTTTTAACTCTATTAACTATTTGTGGAGTTGAAAATCCAATGAAATACAATTAACAGGTTGGGGTATCTTGACATACTGGTGTCGGTACACAGATGTTGACAAGTTATCATTTAATACTGCTCTTATTAATTTCCATGACATGACATCACATTGGAAAGTACAATCTGATTGGCTTTCACTCATCACACTGTATTAGGGTATGATAGGCGCTGTGTGTGTTTGGAAGGTCGTGATGGTATTGCGAGGTATATTAGTATGATTGTAAAATGTTTTCTTTATAGGTAGACAGAAATTGTGGCTTCAATTTTGGTATTAAGAATACTATGTTTAATATTTTTTTTAGTAGAATAAAGTATATATGTTTTTGCGAAGGAGTAGATAGGGCTCTAGACTGCCTCGTTGGCCGGGCCGGGCAAGGGGTCTCGGGTTCGATTCCCGGGTCGGATAAAGTATAACTGGGTTTTTAAAAAATCTCAGTAGTAGCACGAAGTCTGGAATTGTGCCTGGTATATGGCAATAGGCTCACCCCCTATTACATGGAACTAATAACATAAATAGTGAAAAGTGGGTGTTACTTCTGTGTGCACCTCTGCCTACTCCTAAGCCGTGATGTTATGTATGTATGTATGTAGATAGCGGTAGATGTTCATTTAAATCTAGCATAACTATAAACTTGCCGCTATTAAAAAGTATTTCAGAAACGAAACCTGCGTCATACTTTGTCCAGATCGTGAATGAAACTTGCAACTGAACCAAAAAAGCTGTCTATTAAAATTCAAACGATTTCTTTTATCACTCTCACTTCTTGATTAGCTCTAAATATATTACATTTCTACCAAGCTCATCTACGCTGATCACTGTGCAATTATCATCATCGTCAACATCATTTCTACAATCCTATTCATCATCATCTTCCTCATTTCTTTCTAGGGTGACAGTGGTGGTCCCCTGCAGTGTCGGTCTGGCGGTCGCTGGGAGCTCCGTGGCCTCACCTCGTTTGGGTCCGGTTGTGCTCGGCGCGGTGTACCAGACGTCTACACCAATGTTGCTCATTACGTCTCCTGGATCTATGCTCATGTTTATGCTAGCTAGTATTAGAATGTTGTTTGTATAATTTAATAGTGCTACTTGTACGGTCAAAGGCAAAAGTCCTCTGCCACCGTAAGACTATTATCGGTTGCACTCCAGCGCTTATACCCACATGCACACGCATATTTGTATCCGTGTGCGTACGCGTGCGTGTATTTATGCGTACGCACGCGTTTTTATGCGCATTAATATGAAATTAGTTACGCATTGCCGTGTGAACATCACTCACAGTGGCAGTGGACTTTTGACCTTTGACTGTACAAAATAGATTAAGAATATTTCGATTGACAAATGAATGGTGTTCTTGTTTTGATAGAAGCAACACTGACTCGTTGGGCGAGTGGTCGCAAGTGCGACTGCCGGGTGAGGAGTGTCGGATTTGATTCCCTGGTCGAACAAAGTACTACTGGGTTTTAAAAAAAATGTCAGTAGATAGTAGCACGGAGCCTGGAATTGTGCCCGGTATATGGCAATAGGCTCACCCCCTATTACATGGGACACATAACATAAATAGTGAAAAGTGTTAACTCGTCGAGTACCGGTTCTATAGACACAATTAAAGAACAATAGGTCGCGGTCACCGGTGACCGCTTGGTGTTTGACAGTTTAAATTGTAGTGGCGTTAAATGTCGTAATGTGCACATCTGCCTATCCCTTTGGGGATAAAAGACGTTATATTTGTCTTTATGTTATCAAGGACAAAAATTATTTATTCTAATTTATTTTGATTACCAATTTGTAAATATATTCTCTAGTCTCTGTTATGAATTACATATTAATTATATTGTTAACTTTATATTTGATAATTAATGTAAATTATTATTTAAATTACAGTATTTAATAGTTACCCAATAGTTGACAAATACTCAGTTTAGTTATTTATTTTAAAATTATAACTTTTTTTCTAACTTAAGTCTCAAAATACGTTAGGTAGGTACGATAGAATTAAGTTATTTATTTAAATAATTTTACCACTCCATAATTACCACTCAAGATAACTGTGATTTTAATTAGTGTAATATGACATAAAATAAAATGATAATCTTATCAAAAATTAAATAAGATTTAGATAATGCTCATTCAAAACTCTTTTTTATGGAACAGATTAAAAATTATTATTTGATTGTAAATTTCGTTTAGTTGACATAAAACTGTACTCAAAACAATTTTAGATTTTACCTTTGTATATTATTATTAATTTTATCACTTATATGTAGGTACCTACACCGTGAAATGTACTATATTGTTTTCGTCCTGAAAACCAATGGTTCTGTCTTAGTAATACAATAGTTTTACAAGGAAATAAAATAATAATAGAATAAACAGTGGTCACTGCTCATGAGGAAGAACCCCTATGTGGTTCGAAACTAGTAGGGCTTTTCTCAGTATATTCACGTGAGTAACCCGCGATTTTTAGTTAATTTAGTATGTCTCACGATAGTTATTATAAATACAAAGGAAATAAAATGTTTAAAACAAAAAATAAATGATGAACCATTGCAATAAGCAAACTCGAAAGCGCATACGACCTCATAGTACATTATCAAAACATCATGCCATGTAATTATTATTCTCGAAGAGGTATTTCTCGTCGGGTGGCACGTGCGATGTGAATAGTGCATACAAGTTTACGTCTAGTGTTTCATGTGCGTGTTTGCTTAATTTTTTTTGAAACTAAAAAAATACATCTTTTTGTAGATGTTTTTACTTTTTACATCGAAAGTACTCTTTATAGTAAGTTGTTTTGTAGCGGGACGAAACGAAATAGATTTCACGATGTAGGTAGTATTGTTATTACCCGGGTAATATTATCATAATTACCCATTCCATGTACAATATTCAATATATACTTACCATCTTAAATGTATGCTATGTTATTGTAAATACAGATTATAATTAAATTGTTAAGTAAATAAAACATTTATTTGTAAATTGAAAAATATTTTATTTATTCGTAAAAAACATTTCACCATCAGTCTATTAAATTAAATACCTTATAATTATATTTACAATTGACTTATAAGTTATAATTAAAATTAATATCACAATTGCTAAAATTTATAAATATAGTTGCTTTTTAATAATAGCAAGAACCAGTAAATGAAATATTGTATGAAAAATGAATACTGGGTTTTTCATAGTGAGCACTGATTTTATCATAATGGTTCTGGTATTCATACCTTTTACAATAAATGGAATGGTATTTTTGCTCACCATCTTATGGTGTTAGTGACAGCCTCTCATTCTTCGTCCAATAGGGGATTAGCTAATATCACACGATTGGACGTCGAACAATTGACAGCTGCTGTTTAATATTTTCTTAACAAAAAAATATTTTTACATTTGCGCCATCTAGTGAGTAAAACTCGTAAGCCCTCAATGAGCTATACTCCAGTGTTTTCCATCGTTAGCACCAATTTCAACCACTAAGCATTTCTTATTTAGTAAACAATTTTGACATGTTTTATCAAAAATAATTTAAAAAATAATCTTCAATTTAAGTCATTGACACAAAGTACTACCACTCAGATTTTTATTGATACCTATATTTATCTAACTGATTAAAATATACATATGTTAATATTGTTTACTAAACAGGCTAACTTTTACTTTAAATTGATTGTTGATCAATATCTAAATAAACTGCCTCGTTGGCCGAGTGGTCGCAAGTGCGACTGTCGGGCAAAGGGTCTCGGGTTCGATTTCCGGTTAAGTATTTTTTTTAAATTTCAGTAGTAGCACGGAGTCCGGAAATGTGCCCGGTATATGGCAATAGGCTCACCCACTATTACATGGGACTTATAACATAAATACTGAAAAGTGGGTGTTACTTCTGTGTGCACCTCTGTCTACCCCTTCGGGGATAAAAGGCATGATGTTATGTAAATGTACCTAAATAAACTTACAAACTGTCTAATATTCGATGTCAGGAATGTCAATTAATTAAGATTAACTACCTAGTCTATACAAATAGGGCTAATAGACATCAGATACGTCTGCTCGTATCGAATAAGATAACCTCAAACCTTTCTAACTCCTATCTAATTAATATTGAGCAATTTCATTATCACTAATCATCTAATTACGCAACCTAGCATCACATGGATACAATGTATTTATTGATGTGCAGCATGAAATAAGTATTATTTATTGGTAAATGAGAAAAAATGGAAAATATTTAACATTTGTCTCGTTTTGATCGTGTAAATACCACTGATGTGGCAAAAGTCTATAATAATCTCTTTACATCAAGGGCTAGGCTTATTTTTTGTGTTCCTGGTACGAAAATATGTTGAATAAAATACAAATTTTAATATAGCAACATTGCCCGATCATTATCAAAAATAACACACAAAACATAGTTTCTTACCAGTGATACCCGAAACTAGTTATTATTAAAGTGTAATGTTTAATTAGCGCCTAAATTTTTTTTTCTGCCGTTTCACCCGCATAATTAGGTAGTTTCCAGGGTATCAAAATTAAAAATCTAATTAGTCCGTCAGTTAGATAATAAAAAAATATTAGACACGTATTTTTTTTTTCGTTACTTAGATAAAATGGCGCTAAGTTTAAGAGTGGGAGGTTGTTACGTCATAACGTGCTACAAAATGTGGCATGCTCTGACGTCACACGATATTTCAAATGAATATATCGCCGAAAGTATTTAATTTTGTGAGAAAAGAAAAAATACGTGTCTAAAGTTTTAAATTAATGTACCAGACGGACATTAAAATAAAATTTAGGAAACTACCCTATTATTATCTTCTTATGTTTAATGCTCGCCAAAAAGGCAAGTCATAATGGAATGCAATAGACAAAAGGATTAGTATTCTAAACTGAACCAACTTCAGCAAACAAGCTTGCAAGATAAATTACTAATTTAAAATCACACTTACATTCTACACGATATCAGAACACACATTTATTAGAACCTTAAATAGTAATAACTTACCTTTACTATAAAGGCAAGAAGCGCTTGAAAAAACCAGGAAATAATTTCCACCGTAAGCAAAAAAATTGAGCAAATAGTATAATCACAACCTCATTCATTATCAGAACTGACCAGCAAATCTACGAATTCACTATCCTCTTCATTAATAGCTAAGAGGGACACTGCCTCTTTAGCCAGATCCTCATCATCCTTAAAGCTAAACCCTACATTTTCGGCCATGTTCAGAATAACACTACTTCTCCTTCTTTCCGAACTCTTTCTCCTAACTATTGGAGCTGGAATATCTTTTGGTGGAATGATCTTGTACTTAGGTTTCCAGATCCTGTGAAGTCCTTGGCCTGCAAGGACCAGACCGACGATGATGAGGATGACTTCCAGGGTGATGATTAGAGGCGGTGCGTAGAGAAGACGCAGGCGAAGGAGGCTTGTTACCTCTGATGGTGGTTGGTTGCAGTACTGGAAATGGAGAACAGTTTAGTGACGTCATAAAGGTTTTTGAATGGGAAGTACTAAACGTTTAATAGGCTTTAGTATCGTGAGCACTTGTGAACTGGGACTTTGTTACAGGTGCTTTAATTGGAAATGTTGGTAATACATGTAATTTTAAGTCACAATCATGTCTAAGGCGTCAGTGAGATGAGGCAATCAGATTATTCCGAGAAAATATTAGCATACAATTTGCGTAAACCCCCTATAAATTACCTATTATTATTAGAGAAAAAACTATTACTTGTCATAAGCCCTAAATGATTGGCATTATGACGGATTGGCAAATTCTAGTTAGAAGCTAAAATAATGAAATTAAATGATGTATCATTATTCATTACACTCACCAGAGCAAACCACATGATGGGCAGCACCTTGTCCTTGAATGGAGCTGTGATGGGGTTACCTTCATTCATTCTCACTGCTAGGTTGATCTGAATCTTGATGGAGAAGCTTAACGGTGCTCCGATAGTCTGTAATGAAAATTATTGTTAATTATCATTTTAAAATACCTTATGATAATCGAAAAAGTAAAATAAAAGAAAGCCATTCTAGATTTTATGACTAATATTTTTGAATATCCAAAAGCCCTATTCTCAGTAATTGCTCTAATAACCTAGGAGTCCAAGGAGATAAACGAAATCTAAAACAGAAGACTATGAAGACATACAATGATAGCCATTAAATTAAAACCTAAGACATAATACATAAAGACATCGTGTAATGTAGGTCAGATTTTACTGAACTAACCTTAAGACTAGAAGATAAAGACGTAATGAACGATCATTACATTGTAATACTTACAATCTCAATAAATGCATACCTAATTTATCTATCCTTGAACCAATGAGCATTTGATAAGTTTGCGTAGTTTTTCGTCGTGTGGGTTACCGGAGGTATAATTACTCCCATCTCCCCAGTCTCCCCAATCCCTGAATTCCCAAGAATCCTTAAATTCCAAATCTTTAAAAGGCCGGTAACGCACTTGTAACGCCTCTGGTGTTCCAGGTGTCCATGGGCGACACCGATTGCTTTTTTTAAGGGGGGAAGATCATAGAATGACTGCTCCCGCCTGTGTGTGGCGGGAGTGTCAGACTCTTACTGACTAAAAAGCACCCCGTTCCTACTCCTGCACGTCGAGCTTGAGCCCCGGTTACCCGTTAGGTTCTCCGCGATGACGCCGATTGCTTACCATCAGGTGATACGTCTGCTCGGTTACCGGCCTCACCCATAAAAAAAACATTATATTCTATTCAAATAGCAACATGACACTATCATAAACGAAGTAACTTACCGGTTCCAATTCAAAATGTGATCCATGCTTCTTGTGATCTGGATTCATTCCCTCAAAATGCGACTGCTGCACAGGGTCTGTGTCCATCATATGAGGTTTTGATAGAGATATTGGGAAACCTGAAAAAAGAACATGAAAATCCATAGGTAAACTGACCAAATTGCATTCCAAATACGGTTAGCAAGTACTAGATTTCCAATGAACATCTTTTGGGTGCCTACCTACAGTGAAAAGTTCTGCTACTAAATGATAATAATATTGTCATAAGTATTTTTTGATTGATTGACGCTAGTGTTTGCAAGCCTACAGCATTCAAACAGTGATAAAATCACTAAGTACATCATTCGACCCTACTACAAGCTATGCAAAATCGACTAATGATGATTGCTGAACATAACTGATGCTACTAACCATAGTAACAATTGCTGACATCTACGAATCCATCAGGAGGACAGCCGTCACTACAGTTACAGGCAAAGGGAGAGGAGCTGCTGAAAGCTGTTGGGTCCATTGTGTATCTGAAACAAGAATTAGAAATCAATAGAGAACCTTTTTTAAATACCTACGTCTAGTGGTAAAAGAAGGGTTGGTGAAAAAGTAGATGCATAAATTTGCATATTTTGATGGAGATGGACATTTTATCACTTAGGTTTTTTTAAGGGGTGAAAATCATCGAATGACTGCTCTCGTCTGGGTGAGGCGAGAGGGAGTGTCAGACTCTTACTGAACAAAAACCACCCCGTTCCTTCTCCTGGACGTCGAGCCGGAACCCCGGTATCCCGTTAAGTTCTCCGCGACACACTTAGGTTAGGAGTATCATGTAATTTGATATGGGTATCGCAAATATTTACATTTTCTTCTGTCCATCAATGTCCATTAATCCACTCAAGCATCTGATTTGCATCGATTGATCTACCTTTGAAATTAAGTTAGTAATATTATAGTATACTTACAAGTAAGAATTCAGTCCAGTATTCTCACTCTTGCTTTCACTGACAAAAGAGAATGGGTAGTTCCTGCAGGCTTGCTTCCTGAAGATGGTGATGTTCTTCCCCTTGGGGTAGTTTGCTGGCAGCATCAAACCCTCAAAGGACCCTTTGATTCTGTTGCATGGTGTACTGGAAGGTTGAAAAGTATCTATGATTAGTTTTAGTCTAAAATTTTATGATCATCATCGACCTGACCTGAGTAGGTATGTCTACTGCTGGATAAAGGTTTCTATCTTAAGACGATGATATGGTCAGTTTTAGGATATACCCAGGTTTTTATTATTTGATTGGAAGATTTGAAATGCGAAAACTCGAATGATGAATGAGAAAGTTTTGTTTTATTTTTAACAAGTCTTGTTCTTCTATTATTAAAGGTCAGGGGTTTTTACTAAATAAGTTCTATTTTTAGCTCCACTCCTACAAGAAAAACCAGCTATTTTACGTATTGTAATTCAATAATAAGTGATTTATTCATCCGATATAAAAACAAAATACTCCTGCGGTCAAATACCAAAAATAATTTTGACCGATAAACTTGTCTCGGTCATTGGAACATATGGTTTTTAAGTGAAAACAAGAAAATAAATCTTAACGACTGCACACTGTTCGAATATCAAAGATAAGACCTAAGGTATAATAAAGGAATAAATATTACGCTTAAGCCTTTAACTGCCGACAAAAACTGTTAAAGGCTAATCCTCCGCTAGCGTCGGACATCATTGTCCGAGACGTAAGGATTTCGACTTACCTAGTTTCCAAGTCAGTAAATCCTTGCTCCAGAAGACCGCTGGTGTTGTCCCAGGAGTTCAGAGAGTACCGTCTGGTTACATTCGCCAGTTCCACTTCTGACGACTCGTTTTTTTGTGAATAGAACTGTGGAAAATAAACATGAATGAATATAACGGCACGTCGATTCAAATGTAGCAGCTATTATTACAAGTAGTTCAATAAATGTGCTCATAGATGGCGCTGAAAGTAAAGTATCGCGCATGTTTACTCGAGATTGGACTTTTCATAATCACTTTTGTTTCATGTAATTTGATTAAAGCACATAATGCATGGTAGTTAGTCTTTTTGTAAGGTTTCTAGGTATGTCGTCTCCTGTAATAATACTTACTAGAAATAATGAGCTACCTCCCAAAAAAGCTAGTAATAGTAACTGTCAGTTAATAATGGCTGACCACTTATGATGTCCAAAAGTCATGAAACATTATCTTAGTCCAGTACACCGAACTTTGTAAAGAAACATTTAGATCCTTATTTTTATGAACATAAAACTTGTTATTGACCATCATCTATCGTTGTACGTAGTTTTTCAAGAGCGTTCTGTGTACTAGACCCTGTATAATGCTTATATAGTCGGTCCCTGTTTAGGGTCATTCTAATTCCTAAGCATCCCACACTTAAGTGTAATAAATATAACTACCTAAATACATAATATAAATATAGTTTACTGATAATTTGATGCCTAATTTTTATTTTAAAGTCCGCCTGGTAGATTATTTTAAATCATTAAACACGTATTTTTTATTTTCTTACAGAAACGAATACTTTCGACGATATATTGATTTGCAATGTCGCGTGACGTCACTTCTGAGTACATTTTATACGTAGAAAAGGTAGAAATGACGTTTTAGTCCCCAACTGACTTACTTTGATTGACAATTTAACTTTGATTCGTTTTATCTAAGTATTGTTTTATTATAGAATACGACAAAATAAAAAACTACGTGTCTAATATTTTTTCATTACCTTACTTACGGACTAATTAGATTTTGAATTTTCATACCTTGTCATCATCCCGATTCTCCACGTATTCCAGTCCTATCAATAGATTAATTAGAAATATGGAATTGAGTAAACAAATACTAACCCGATCCAAAAGTCCAATCTTGGCGAAGTCAATCCAGCCAGGCAGCAAAGAGTTGGCAATGGTAACAATAGGGTCATGATAACCCCAGAACATCTCTTCAATGGACAGGTCCTTAAACAGCTTGGAGCCTAGAGCCGACATGGAGTAATAGGCTCCAGCATTCGCGAAGTAACCCAGCTTGTCTGCTGCTAATGTGCTCATCGCCTGGAAAGAAATAAAGGGGATTTTAACTCTTATTTTTTGCAGGTCAAATAAGGACTGCTTGTATGATAGGAGTCATGGTTTTCTAAATATAATAATATGCCACTCACTGATGGCGTGCTTTTGGAGACGTCTAGCTATGTTTGATAGAGGGAAAACGAGCTGACCGTGATGTAGATGGTTAACCCTTTGAGTACCTTCATTATAGACACATTTAAAAGCACAATAGGTTGTGGTCACCGGAATCCTCGCGGTGTTTGACAGTTTAAAAAGAAATTGGATTCAATGCAATTTTTTACGTAAAGTCCTGTATTTTTGTGATGGCTGAAGAAGAAAAATTCATTAAGTCGTTAAGTTGTAATTGATCTTCCTTATCGAAGAATTAATTTTTAAGCAAGTTTGAAGAAGTTTTTTAATAAATGTGACACTAATTTTGTCAATGTTTTTGCAAAATTCGTTACTTACAACTTGATTTTTTATATAGATATCACATTTGATTTTTTTTGTGTCCTGTTTTTAACCAAATAGGTTGAAATAAATTGATTCAATTATTCTTTCGATTCATTATTTAATCAGTCATTTATTTAAATATCCGAGATAACATCTACACGCACGTTAAAAATGTAAATAAGACAAAGAAAAAAATTGTCAAAATGTATTAACCGGCCAACATTAAAAAAAAAATAGTTAACCTTGAAAATCAATTAGAAATTAAAATATCCTTAATTATAATATTTACTAGTTTCGCACGTTTTTTACCTACATACCTCTACATACAAACATACACGCTTACATAATTTTTTGTCATATACTTGTATAGTCAGTACCTACCATGTAGTATGCAGGTAAGAAAATAAAAATAGACTCAGTACAAAGTAACCATTGGTTCAAAGTCAAAGTCAAAGTCAAAGCATTTATTTCAATTAAACCATAATTTGGTACTTTTGAAAAGTCAATAAATACAAAATAAATAATAGTCTGTCAGTCAGTCCGTCAGTGAAGCTAGGTGAAGCTAGGTGCTCATGACAAAATGTAGATTCGAATGGAGAAGAACGAGAAGAAAACTCCATTCGTTACTCTTTTTAAAAAAGTATAGGTTGGGTACTGAACCGAACAATGATTACAGAATTATGGCTTTGTATAGGGTAAGCCGGTAAACGAGCAGACGGATCACCTGATGCTAAGACGGATCACCGATTGCTTACCATCAGGTGATCTGTCTGGTCGTTTACCGGCTTATACCATATATAAAAAATCATCGGCGTTGCCCATGGACACTTGGAACACTAGAGGTGTTACTAGTACGTTACCGGCCTTTTGTGGATTAGGAATTTGAGGATTGTTGGGGATTCAGGGACTTGGGGAGATTGGGGATCGGGCGTCGTGTAACCTCACTCATACGCCGAAACAAAACTCAAGCGCTATTTTACGTCGGTTTTCTGTAAGGCCGTGGTATCACTCCAGTCGAGCCGGCCCATTCGTAGCGAAGCATGGCTCTCCCACACAGAGCTTGGTCAAATCCTATGAGTATAAAAATGGCTACTGTCTCTATACAGAGTCCATCTTTATTTCCATAGCAGCACAATAAATAACTGTACTGACTGTACCTATGATTTCCATTAATGACCCATTAGCCGAGACATTGACTTGTGTGAAAGGTCACAGGTTCACATAAAGTTTTATTGAACCAACTCCAAACGTGGCGGTTAAATTATAATTCAATGATATGGAAAATATGTTTACTTGTTTAGTTTTTTGTTCTTTAATTTACTTTTTTAATGTCGTGGTGGCTCGGAGTATTAAGACTCCTAGGTAGTTCTCATGCATGAGGGTGCGGGTTGGTATGGCAAGCACCAATGTGAATTTTGCCGAGTTATATGTACTTTCTAAGATAGACACCACTAACAAATGGTAAAGGAAAGTATCGTGAGGAAACGTGGGCTTATAATTTCTAATTATAAGCTTGAAATCGAAAACCCCCTTTGAGTAAGCGTAGTGATTAATGCTCAAACCTTCTCCGTGCTAGAAGAGGCTGTTGGTCAGCATTGGCCACGTATAGCCTATCGGATGTTTAGTTCTTTAGATAACTTAGTGCTAGGGAATGCAAATCTTGTAAAATCTCGCTAATTTAGAAATCAACACATGGCAGAAACAGTCCTCTCTCCTAATATCAAACAAAAATTCCTTTACTAAATCGATCTCGCGATATCGAGAACGCATTCCCTGTAAAATTAAATTGAATTAGTTTGTTCTAAACTATCAGTAGAATTAAAATAAATAGGTTTGTTTTTAGTTTATTTTAACTGGCGAAATACCTAAATAATCTAGATCTGAACAAATTAGCGCAAGGAATTGTCGGCATCGTTTTCAAGCTTGCTAAATATAATATTTAGTTTAAAAAAACGTTGTTCTAATATTAGACACATTTATTAAACTTTATAGACCCACCCTATAAAGGATAATGATTCGAGTTTTTAGTAAAATGTCTAATTTTAGCCTCGCATAAAGACTACACACAATATGAGTTTTTTGACCATAATAATGCGTGTTTTGTAAAATAATATCATCAAGATCAAGATCAACTCATTAGAATGTTTCCTAGTACTTAAGGTCTAATATACAGTGGCAAATCAACCTACACCTGTAAAACTTCATTAGATTTATAACTTTATTATTTTTCATATAAAGTCAAAAATTCCGAAATCCAATAAACTGTATCGCATTAGGAAAAACAGAAAAGGCACCATTCTTGTTTTAGGTACTTAATTTTTAACATGCAGAAAGACATTGATTTATACTTTAAAGAAATGTTTTAACTTAATATACTTTACAATGCCTGAAAAAGGCCGTTAAGCTGTGCCTGTTATTTCATAAGACCTGTATGTATTACTTTAACATGCAAATAAAGAGTTTGTGTGTTTTTACTTTTGTGATAGTAAACCTATTTATTCACGAAATAGTACTTAAATTGTGTATTTAGAGGTAGGCATATAAAAACTATGTCAAATTATATAGACTGACAAGTAAAGTCCATATTTAAGTCCAAAGGGTCGGCTATGTATGATGTTATAATATTATTACAGTAGATATTTAATTTTGGTATATGACTGTGATTTTTAGATGATTGCCATGACACTTTTTTATTACATAGATAGTAATTCCCCGGAAGGATGAACTGACTTTTTTATTTGCTTTTCTTTTTACGCCATCACACTAGGATTCTCTCCTGAGTACGTTTATAAGCATACAATTTGGCACTTTCCTTAACCAAAAATAAACTTAATTTTAGTATTTTTCCAATAAAATTTTACTAAATTAGTATGCTGTTTGACGCTAAAATCACGTGACGTCACAATACACAATCACGCACAAAATTCATATAAAACTGTCGTTTTTGAAAGTTCGAAAAATACCCAATTTCACATAAACATGACACCCAGACCAGAACAAAAATATGTGGATTATCGTGCGTAAATCGATACGTTACACGTTCGCGGCAGCCGGTTGTCCCAACATGCAGTTAAAAAAAGTATTTGTAGACAAATTTTTAACCGATTTCAAATATACCTTTTATATGTACCTTACATACATCTTTGTACCGGATTATCTCACAATTGGCTGGACCGATTTTGCTATACTATAAACTATCTCATTTTTATTTTGCTATACAGAAGTATACCTAGTACATGTAGTTTCGACGCATATTTATGTCTCATTCTGAAAATTAGGGTAACTAAATCAGCTTCTAGCAGCACTTACTTACCTCTATAAAAACCAAGGGGCCACCTAACATGACCTAACAAATGACTGTAATTACCCAATTAAACAACTGTTTGTTATTAAAATTTTTTATTACAATACTGGACAAAATAGACAAAACTATGATAAGAAACGAGAATAATAGATCACGGAAGTAATAAATTAAATGATTAACAATAACTAAAGATAAATCCTGGTATATCTAAGTTAATTGTATTTTAATGTGAATATGTGAATCAGTGTATAATGTTGTTGTTCAGTATGTCAGTGGAGTAACTAATTAAGTACTTAACGTCACGTTTTTATCCCCGATGGGGGGATCCCACGCGATGATATCCATAAACTACAATTAAAAATCCTATTTCAACTTCTTTTTTTTATGAAGAACCTTAGGTTTATAAAACTTCGCAACGTAATAAACCTGCTTGCATAGTTTAACAAAATGTTTACTGAAAATCGCTTCAGCTGCTTTTTTTTTATATTTGATATGCCGACGTTTGCCCACTATCTCGCCTGGTGGTGCACGATGATGCGGTCTACGATGGAGCACGTCGTCCCATAAGCAACCTATTCACTCGGGCTTTGAAGACTCCCAGGTTATATATACCCTTCAGGAAACACAGACTCTGGCAAAGAATTCCACTCTTTAGCAGTACGCACAAGGAAGCTTGATGCGAAGCGCTTCGTGCGTGTGGGTGGGCCATCTACTATGAATCGGTGACGCTTCGCCGATTGCCTTGTGGTACGATGATGGAAAGGACTAGGGGGAATCAAGTGGTGCAATTCCGATTATCGCGAACAAACATACACATACAGTTTAAACGTAGGTTCTCCTCCTTTTGTTAAAGTCGTATAATAAAATAAGCAGCTGGTGTGGTCTTAAACGACCCACTGTAGAAGTTTTTACCACCCGAGAATTAAGACTATAGCAGGCAATGGCAAACAAGGCAGTCACGCATACCATCAATGATGCCTTTTTTCTTTCTTTCACTTCAATTAATAAGCAACAACATAAATAGCATAGCATCATGCCTTTTTGTCCCCGAAGGGGTAGGCAGAGGTGCACATTACGGCTTTTAATGCCACTGTACAATGTACCACCCACTTTTCACTATTTATATTATGAGTCCCATGTAATAGGGGGTGAGCCTATTGCCATATACCGGGCACAATTCCGGACTCCGTGCTGCTACTGAGATTTTTATAAAAACTCAGTAACATTTTGCTCGACCCGGGAATCGAACCCGAGACCCCTTGACTGGCAGTCGCACTTGCGACCATACGGCCAACGAGGCCGTTCAATTAATATTATTAGAATTACTTACAATAAGAGCAATGTTCGGTATCTTCACGGTGACATTATGTGTGTCAGCGACAGACTTGTCCAGCAGGAACTTCAGCTTCAGTCTCGGGTTCATAGTCATCACGCCTCTCTGCTTGTCTATCTTTATGTTTTCGTTCGTTCGCATTTCTCTGGAAACAAGAACAAAGTGTTATTTTTTGTGTAATTGGTGTACAGTGTAAGCGTGATCAGGTTTAAACTTCGGTTCTAGTGTGTGACAAGGATTATGATCAATTTGAAATTCTTTTTGATTATTAAATCCTGTCTTACATAACATAACGTCTCATCTTTTATCTCCTTAGGGGTAGGCAGAGGTGCACATTACGACACTTAATGCCACCGTACAATGTAACACCCACTTTTCATTATTTATGTTATGAGTTCCATATAATAGAGGTGAGCCTATTGCCATGAGCCTATACCCGTACAGTAAAATGGGGTGGTATTCACATGGGGTGGGTATTCACCCCATTTTACCTACCGGGCACAATTCCAGACTCCGTGCTACAACTGAAAATTAAAAAAAAACATTAATACTTTGCCCGACTTGGGAATCGAACCCAAAACCTCTTGCTCGGTAGTCAGACTTGCGACTTGCGACCACTCGGCCAATGAAGTTGCTTATTTGGTCTTCTCGATTTAGTAATCTACATTTTGTAACAATCGTCAATACAATTTCAATTTATATTGACCACTTGCTGATTAGATTTTGATCTTAGTTAAACTAACTCATAAGTGCACATCATTTGAGTAAAGTTTTGACGTAAGTTTTATAAATCTACGTCTTTGGTCGTAACCACAGTACCCATTTGTCAGCAGTTAAGTATAAAACAAACATAAATTGCTAAAAATCCTGGGTTTCCCCTCTCCCAAACCTCAGTTACCCAAATATCGCTAAACCAGCAACAAGGTCGGAAATTAAATATGGTGCAACTTTTGGTCAAACACAATGTGTAACACTAGGTTTTAACCGCGACATTACCGACATAAAATCTCTTTATTTTAACCAATCCATTCTATAAACAAAATTGCCAGTGCTCTCTCGCGCTCCTAGAAAAGCCTGCAACCAGAAGTTTCGGCTTTCTGTATGAAGGTCGTTCTATCATTAAGTCAGTAATCCTAAGACTTCAGAGACTTGGTATGTGCATGAAAATCCAGTGTTATAATTGTGAAATTTATTATACTGGTACATTGCCGATTTATAACGGTTTAAAATCACCTGCTATTTTCATCTTTGCACTGCTTAAAGGATGACTGGGAGACAATGCCCTTAGCATTAAGTCCACCTGTGCACACTTGTTGTATTAAGTTGAAATAAAATTAAAATAAATAAAATAAAATCCCTAGGATTCTCAAGAAAAAACTGATACCTTACAGGTGGAATTACCAGCTACCACTTAAATAAATTATGACGTTATTTGCTAGCTAGTGGAGGTCATAAGCGAAAATACAGATTTTTGCTGATGGTCAGCCACTGCAATGACGTGCTATTAGGGAAGACTAGACATCAATAGACAGAAACGAGCTGATGATGCCCAGTATCTTCATAATACACAAACACACAGACATGTTGATATTGACGATTCACCTCATCTGTGTGGTCAGCAGTGGTCAACATTAGTTCAATAATTCACATGTGTGTAATAAAGTGACATGTAGCAAGCATCACGTTTTTGCATACATTTACTTACTAATACAATCATTATCCTTGCGCGACACTGACTTAGAATTATAAACAGCTGATCATAATTTTGAGTCAGTTTTGGAGGCAGGTCGTGACTTTTTGACTTTTATTTTTGGTCATGAAATTGGTTCTTTAGTGCGAAGTTTGGCATGGAAATTCATCGGGTTGTATTTACGGTACTTTTTTATGGCATAAGCCGGTAGACGAGCTGACGGATCACCTGATGGTAAGCAATCGGCGTCGCCCATGGATACCTGGAACACCAGAGGCATTACAAGTGCGTTACAGGCTTTTTGGGGATTAGGAGTTGAGGATCGTTGGGGATTCAGGGATTGAGGAGATTGGGGAAGGGGAGGGTAATTGGGCCTCCGGTAACCTCACTCACACGAGGAAACACAACGCAAGCGTTGCTTCACGTCGGTTTTCTGTGAGGCCATGGTATCACTCCGGTCGAGCGGGCCCATTCGTGCCGAAACATGGCTCTCCCACGCTTAAAAAACTAATTATTAAATTATATATCTACACTTTATTTATTAAAAAAAACATTGCCCCATACTAGGATTTCCTCCTGTGTCGTGGGTGCGTTTGCAAACATACAAGTTCACATATACATGACACCCAGACCCGGAACAATAATCTGTAGATCCCACAAAGAATTGTTCCGTGCGGGAATTGAACCAGCGACACGTTATACGGCCACCAGTTGCCCAATCATCGCGCCAACCGTGCAGTCAGTATATCAATAAGCTTTACATTATTTTGTGTCGTTTAAACAACAACTTTATAAATAGACTATCCCCCATATGTATCAACATCCTGTTCATCCAAAGGTTGGTTAGATAAGACAAAACAATAAGATAACAATGATAAGTATAACTTTGAACCCTTTGAGTACCAACTGACTTTGTTTTTAAGTTTTTTATACGTTCTTGTCACGTTTTCAATCACTCGACAAATAGGGACTATGGGATGATATGGGCCCGCAGAGCCGAGCAGCCAGTAGCAGCGCGACAGTCGCCGCGTCGCGGGTCGCGGAATGCTGCTCATGAATATGCTGATATTATTATATTAGACAACACTGCCTCGTTTGCCGAGTGGTTGCAAGTGCGACTGTCTGGGAAGGGGTCTCGGGTTTGATTCCCAGGTCGGGCAAAGTATAACTGGGTTTTTAAAAAAAATCTTAGTAGTAGCACGGAGTCTGGAAAATTGCCCAGTATATGGCAATAGGCTCACCCCCTATTACATGGGACTCATAACATAAATAGTGAAAAGTGGTTGTTACTTCTGTGTGCACTTCTGCCTACCCCTACGGGGATAAAAGACGTGATGTTATGTTATCTATTATATTAGAGGCTGCTCTAGCATGGCTTGGAACTAGTCGAGTTTTTCGTCAAACAGTTACGTGCATAAAACATAATAATTAATTTAGTATGTCTCACGAAAATTATAAGATTTAAAAATGTAAATATACCCCACTTATGTTGGTTCAAATCTTGAAACTGAACCAAATGTCTCGCAATCAGCATTCGCGTTTACAACCATTCTATGGTAGTTGGTAAAAAACCAAGCTAGAGTCTTACAAATGTCGTGAAACTCTGTAATTGGCTTAAGTGATAATTGTCATCATCTCGTTATCACTGTGCAGCGTGTGTCGACCTCACTTTTCCAAGCTTGTATATATTCTTTCACTCACGAAACTGCATAAGGCTGTCCATTGATAGTATAATAAGCTGTTGAGTTTCCAAATAAACAAAATAAAAAAAATAAAAAAATAGATTCTATCCAGATAAAACTTAATTGCTAGATAAAATAAAGTAGCCATTAAGTGTTACGTACTAGGAAAACCTAATGAGTCAGTCAACAAACTCAGTTGGACAAACTAACCACTGGTTGTAAGATAATATTTAACTAATATAACTTAATTAATTAAATCAACAAGGAACATGTAATATGTTACAAGTAGGTAATGTTTCTTTGAGAATATTATGTGTTTTTACGTGGTTCTCACAAAAAAATACTATTTTCCAAACGTTGCCCCACACTAGGATTTTCTCCTGTGTCGTGGGTGCGTTTACAAACATACAATATCACATACATCATGACACCCAGACCCGAAACAACAATATGTGGATCAGAAAAAGACTTGATCTGTGCGGGAATCAAACCTGCGATACGTAGTTTCGAAACCACAGAGGGGTTCTTCCTCATGAGTAGCGTGCGTGAATACACTCACTTTTAACCAATATTAAGACTTCCATGTAATTGGGGAGAGGTCAAAAAGTAGGTACCTACCTAATATTTCTCTGCTTTACCAGTTTACCGAACAAGGGGCCCTTAGAAACCACTAATTACACTTAGGCATATCAAATCATAAGTAAAATACGTACGTAACTTCATAAAATAAATACTTACTGAAATGTGAATGGTCCAACTTCATTGACCTTCAGCACCTTCTCAGCTCCACTGAGATACTCCTGCGCATTGGTATAGTTGAAGACCCACATTTCGGAGAACATCTCATACGTTGGATTTGCCCACATGTTGTAGAGGAATGAACCTTCCCGCATGTCCATGTACTGTGGACAAAGAGAAAACATACTGTAAAGACATCATGTCAAATTAGGAAACAATAGGGTAGATGCCTAATTTTTATTTTAATGTCCGTCTGGTAGATTACTTTAAATCATTAGACACTAATTTTTTATTTTCTTAGAGAAACGAATACTTTCGACGATATATTGATTTGAAATGTCACGTGACGTCACTTCTATGTTCAATTTATACGTAGAAATGACGTTTTAGCCCCTACTCCTAAACTTTGATTCGTTTTATCTAAGTTTGTTTTATTATACGACAAAATATAAAAATACGTGTCTAATATTTTTTAATTACCTGACTTACGGACTAATTAGATTTTTAATTTTCATACCCCGTCATCATCCCAATTGAAAAAATTACTTTAACCGACTTCAAAAAAGGACGTTCTCAGTTACCTGTATGTATGTATGTGCGCGATTATCTCGCGATTGGCTGAACCGATTTTGAATCACAATAATAAATGTATATTTACACACACACACACACACTTATATATAGATCAAACTGAGATGCTCTTATTATTAAGGTCGGTTTGTGTTTATAAGAACTATAATGAAATGAAATTAAACCTTTAATCGTGATAGTATACAGTGACAGTGTACAGTATATAAAAAGTATTACTAAAAAATTTACAAACCTTCACAGATTTTACCTTCCATGTCAAATTTTAGTAACTCAGAAAAGCCGGAAAAACAAAACGTAAACCACTACAACGCACTTATATTGTTAACATCGAAATCAAATTACGAAAGCAAGACTAGGTAAACCGTAACTATTGATTGGAAAGAAAAACAACAACAATACATAAACAGGCAAATTGACTTTCAAATAGATTAAAATGACAAAAAATACGCCGTCTCAATAATTCCCGAGTTCCCGCCATCTTGACTTTTTCATTTCTCGAACCACAGATTAAATTTTCCCGCTAAACGATGACGTTTCTTTTTTTTGTCTATGCTTCTAACAGTATAATATTTATTAATTAGATCGATAAATATTTTTATCAAGACTATATTACACAGTGACCTTCAGAACCTGGAGAAAAGGGCGTATTCTTTCTTAAGGACCGGCAACGCACCTGTAACCTCGCCGGTTGTCCTCGGACGGTGCCGATTGCTTACCATCAGTTGATCCATCTGCTTGTTTGGCCCCCATTCCATAAAAAAGTGTCATCTACCTATGAGATAAACGAAGGACTGACTGAGTATGACACATTCACACAAATATAAAAAAAATATTGAAGTGAATGACGTCCACAATTAGCTACTTAACAGTTTTCTAGAATTATTCCATTTTGTCATTTGACAAATGGAATAACCGTTTTCTAACTGTTATTTCTTTTGTATTGAATGACAAATAAAATATTTTTACTGCCTATAATATGACTTGTTTGAATGTAACATTTAAATATGTTATTTTAAACACTAGTTGTTTGGTAAATGCAGTTACTGTTACCGTTACTTTGTTATTTTGTTTATTATATTGTGTTATTAGGTATCTGTTAGATGTAATGTAACATTGTATGACGTCACGACGTTTGATTTTCGAATAGGTAGGCGCACGTTCAGACCTCGACCAGCTTAGCGGATCAAGTATGATAAAAAAATTAAGTGTCTATTCGCGGTAATATAAGGATATCATAAAAAGTTTTGCCATAAATGGTGAGATATTCATAAAACATAGCTCTAATTAAATCACACGTTTATGTGGTTATAAAAACTAACGTCACGGTTTTTGTAAAAAAAAGTGAAGTCACTCGTCGTCACCAGGTTGATGATAAATATAATTAGGCTTTTTAGGGATTTCTCAATCTTGAAAATATTGGTCGAAAATATATTTTCCGTTTACAATAATTTTCTTAACCTTTTCCTTATTTTTTGACCGAGTTCTAAAAGAAATAAGAGCCTCTTAAATTGACCTGTATGTATGTATGTGCGCAATTATCTCGCGATTAAATGAAATGATTTTGATGCGATTTTTAGAAAAGTGTTTATTACAATTAGGAGAAGGTTTTAGTATATCAATTAAACGACTTCTATCTAATAAAGAGTGGTTTTTTAAAATAGGTTTACAAAAGAAGTAGTTATAGCTCGTGATAATTCATTGCTGTATAGGTCTTCTTAACATAGTATAAGAGGATTGACTATAATCCCCACACTTGGTGGACGAGTTGGAGATTGTTATTTAAAAAGTTTAGGTTTATAAGACACCACTGCTGCACAGTGTACAAATGTGCAGTCGTTAAGTCGACTTTTATGACAGCCGTGGGAAGAATGACGCAGATGATAAATACATTATCTGCAGTTATCACACTGCTTCGTAATAAAATTATACTTGTATTAAAATAGGTCCTATCTTCTTTCACGATAGGTATCAGAAAGTAATCAATCAATTTGAACCTAATTACGTTGTCAATATGCAACATATTACTTTGTAACTTAGGTTGCAACATAGCAGGCTAGGCAGACGTGTTTAGTTCACCTAGTCACCTAGGTATTACAGTACATAACTAAAATGTGATGCAAATATTAAATTAAATGATTCTAACATAGAATATCACTACATAATATAAAACAAAATCGTTATCCGCCGCCTGTCTCTCCCTATGTATCCTTAGGTCTTTAAAACTACGCAACGGATTTTGATGCGGTTTTTTAAATAGATAGAATGATTCTTACGGTAGGTTGATACGTATAATACATGCACATATTGCACCCGCGCGAAGCCGGGGCGGGTCGCTAGTAGGAAATGTATTTTAGTACTTCGATAATGATAAAAGTTAAGTAAGATTAAATAAATAGGACAACGATTAAAAATATTAAAAGACGTAAGCTAAGTCAATTATTATGGTTTTCGGCTTACTCACGTAACTGTTTGACGAGGAAGTCGACTAGTTTCAAGCCAGGCTAGAGGCTCTCAAGCAGCGCGACAGTCGCCGCGTCGCGTGTCGCGTGTCGCGGAATGCTGCTCATTCATTATTTACATTTTAATAAGTTATTTATTTATCACCAGCTTTTGGTACAAGGAACATTCCATATAAAACTTGAGCCCCTGTCACGTCAGACAGGCGAATTGCAGTTTTTAAAAGATTCAGGTTTGTCAGAGAGCTGTTGTCCGGTCGCAGTCAAATGTGTGGTCGCAAAATAGGCTCCTACAATACCCGTGGAAAGATTTGGGGTGGTGAATTTATTTATTCAATAGGTACACAGCGTACGCAACAGAGTAACAACATAAGTCAGTAAATGGCAGACCATGCTTCTACAAGTAAGTGCACACAACATGACATGCAACGACAAATAAACAACTTTAAACATCTTAAATAAACATCTTTAATTTTCATACCCTGTCATCATCCCTATTATTTTGCAAATATATAAAAAAATATGTAAACTAAATTCGAGGTAGCTGGATGTTCTGTAGCATCTTCGCATATTGAACTCATCACTAAGAACAACGTTCGATTGTCAATAGAATCTTCTGACGCATTGCACAAATTGTTTGTCAGCGGTATTGTGTCAAATTAAATTGTTAACTCGAAATGTTTTTGTGCGGTTACCGTGAATGCCATTTGACCCTACACTGTAGTCGGTAACTAACCTTCAATATTGTTAGGTTTATTTTTAACTGTCGACTCAGAATATCTAAGAATTTGACCGGATGATCTTTTACGTGTGCAAGAAAATATTTGTCTCGCATTTTGCAAAACATTATTTTAAATTTTGGCGGCTTATGAATGGGGACTGTACCGAGTGGTTTAATGTATGTACATACATATGTACCATGGATGTGTAAGAATAGTGTATATACTACATATGTACTTTAAATGTAATTTTCATATGAATGAAAGAGTAAAGATATGTGTTATCACTACATAGTATAAAACAAAGTCGCTATCCGCCGTCTGTCTGTCCCTATGTATGCTTAGATGTTTAAAACTACGTAACGGATTTTGATGCGATTTTTTTAAATAGATAGAGTGATTCTTAAGGAAGGTTTATAAGTATATTCGGGTCGCTAGTTTCACTATAATAAATGTTTGTTAAAATATTTCTTTAATCTTGATAACTATGACTATAGAACTCAAAATCAAGTTCATACTTCGAGTACTACATACTATAACCGGGTTTGAAATTTGATCAACTTAGCAATGATAGCATTAGTTAATTGATTACCTCTTCAACAGCCAACATAAACTTCTCGGTTTGATCTTAAGTAACAGAAAATATTGTAACTTTCGTGAGACATACTAAATTAATTATTATGTTTTCGGATTACTCACGTAACTATTGACGAGGCGCGTCGCGTGTCGTGGAATGGTGCTCATGAATATTAAGCTCTTTTTTTTTTTTTTTAAGGGGGGAAAATCATCGAATGACTGCTCCCGCCTGGGTGAGGCGGGAGGGAGTGTCAGACTCTTACTGACTAAAAACCACCCCGTTCCTTCTCCTGCACGTCGAGCCGGAGCCCCGGTTACCCGTTAGGTTCTCCGCGACTCCGAATCGGCATCGGCCCTATTGGGCCCCATCTGTGGTGGTCTGATGGAATATTAACCTCTAGCATGGCTTGAAACTAGTCGAGTTCCTCGTCAAACAGTTACGTGAGTAAGCCGAAAACATTATAATTAAGTAACAGACAACCTTTACTAACACCTTCCAACCATGATGCTCAAATATTAAAAAACGGTAGGTACAGAATTCCATCCGTCCATACTAAGATGCTATGAATAAAAATAATCTAAGAAGAGCTAAGTATGAGGTGAGTAATTCCCTAACGATAATTACACAATTTGGAAAAAAGTAAACCCCTAGAATAATTTGTTATTGTAGTTTTTTATCGTAAAAAGTAAGTGACCTTAACTGAAGATGTATTTAGCCAGACAATCGACTATTTAATAATTTAATAAAAACATGAACATATTAATTACATTATAATATTAAAGATATAAATCAAATTTTATTGGCACATGTAGGACCAGATT